AGAGAGAGAGAGAGAGAGAGAGAGAGAGAGAGAGAGAGAGAGAGAGAGAGAGAGAGAGAGAGAGAGAGAGAGAGAGAGATTAGCGTGTGGGCCGGTAGGGTATGGGCTGGGATCCTTCCAGCAGGCGGCTCCTGTTTCCAACCCCGCTCACCCCTGAGAAAACCAGTTCTTTTTTATTTAACTTCTTTTTAAAATGGGCGACAGAGTTTCTTTATGACATTGACCGGATTTGAACTTGGGTCCGCATTTCAACGGTTCATGATTGTACCAACCGGTGGTGTTTCTTCCCAGTCCATGGAAAATGGACCGGCGCCAGTAGCTGCCAGTTCTGCAAATTGTGTAACTGGCAGCTTGTCGGGAGCGTCTTTACTGTTTCTTTTTTGCAGTATCAAACTGGTCTCTGCCCAAAGCTGCCGCAGCCTGTTATTCCAGCGAATTTGAAACTCAAATTCCTTCGTCATGGAGTTGTCTCATAAATAAATTAAAATAATTACCGGGCCAATATTTCAACTACTCAAACCCAGCAGTAATGTAGAAAATCACAGACCTTTGCAAATGGCATTTTGTGTTGACCAGTTTTGAATTCAACAGTGCAAAAATCAATCTGACTAGGTAGGCTGTCAGTTCGAGCTAACACTGCCAATTAGGACAAGCAGTCTGTCCAAATAACTAAAAGAGATCATCTGCTTCTTAGGAAATACACCCAATGGGGAAGTAGACAATAAGCACAGAATCGAGTTTTCAGGTGAAACTACCCCCTTTCTTTACATCCCACAAATCATCCCAGCCACATTGTCCGGCAACAAATAGAAAAGCAGTAATGCCTTAGAGTGAACGGGCCTACCCCTGTACCCAAGCGAATAACGGGAGGCCAACCCAGACTTCAGATTATTTATAGCCACAAGCAGTATGACTCCATTGTCCCGCCAGAGTCTGTTTATAGACGGTCTGGTACTCGCCTCTCCCCTGACGTTACTGCTTCTAAGTGCTGCTGAAGCCGAAAGGGCTTAAAGTTTGTGCATGCATGTGTGCACCACTTCCTAGAGCTGTCTTTCGATGCGGGCTCGTGCTTCCTTCTCCCGGGGCTCTTCACAGGCATTGACCTTCTCCCACCAGATGCCCCACAAGAATGTCGACTCTCAAGGTAGTGTGCTCTCTCACACCTCACCAAAAGAGGACTCTCTCAAGAGGAACACTCCTCGCAGTAAGAATAATAAAGGAGGGTAGATAAGGTCAGAAACAACATACCTGGTCAATGCTGCCCCCAACCACAGATTGTCTCACCAGCTGTGATGATGTGCCATTTGTTGGCCGGTCGTAGCAATGGAACCACCGACAATACAATGCAAGTGCCTCCGTAAGCAACAGTGAGCATCACCTCACTCCCAACACAAATGATGTATTCCTCAATATAGCCTTCCGGCTGTGCGCTCTCTACCCAGCGCACAATCAGCATCCCTTCAGAACGAATGTGATCACACTGCACGCATTTGGCATGTGCATGCACCGCACCAACCAAACATGCTGGAACTTAGTGGCGAGAGCCTATGAACCAGCTCTGATCACAAATTGCAAGGAAATAAGCAATGCGAACAGCAGCAAACCAAATTGCAATATCTCACTGAAGACCAGATGCCAGTGAACCCGAAACTGAAAGCAGAAATAGGAATGAGCAAAGCATTGAAGTCTCTTGACAATGGAAGTCCACCCAACGCCTCCGGTCACCAATACATCAACAATGTATCCCTCCTATAGGCGGCTACCGCCAGTTCAACCTACAGCTACTCCTATAATCTTAGCCTACAGACTACTTCAACAGGTTCCATGTGAGATCAGCCCAATGACTCTTGAAGACTCTGATGAACAGCCTGCTTTTGTCAGCACGAGGTATGTGCCTCGTCTCCTTCACCTTCCCACAGCCTTCTTCTTCTTCTTCCTCTTCCAAGGACTCCTAGTACTTCACCACCACTTGACTATGGTCCGCATAACTCGGCGATGGCTGCCAGACCTGCTTCCATGCTGCCACCACACACCTTCCTCTCAAGCGCTAATGCCCTGCAGATGCTCGCACAGCACTGCCACATTGTCCGAATGCCCCAATATGTACTTGGCTGCACCCTCCAGTCTTTTGTGCTGGCTGGAGAGGCCCAGCTGCCTCTGCCCAGGTGCGCGCAGTCCCAGCTTCCAGTCCCCTGGGCCCTTGCAGAATCTGCAAGAGGCCCGGCATCTTCAACAAACTCGTGGGCTGGACCTACCGGTTAGTTGAAGATGCTGGTGGCGTGCAGCAACGACCTGGGGCCCGCAATTTCGTTCATAAAGGCCTCTACCCAGGCCACGGGCTCATTTGCAGGCCTGCCTTCACTCAGGGCAGGCACGGCCTTTTCCAAGCATGCCGAGGTCCTGAATCCTCGCACAAGATTAAAAACATAAAGACAAAATCTTGAAATCATAATCTGCACATTAAAGGCTTAGAGGCCAAGGATTAAAAAGAGAGAAGGTCCTTCGGGGAATCCAACAAAATTGGAACGATACAGAGAAGACTAGCATGGCCCCTGCGCACTCTCCAGCGCTGGCAATAGTAGATCAGCCAAAATGCCACGTCATGATTGAAGCGCGCGATAGCGCTAACATTGGCGCCATGGCATGGGAGATGGGGGCGTTGCGAACGTGGGCGTGGCTGCTGGTATGGGTGCACGCTTCGGGGGGGACGCGTGGACGCTGCTGGTGGGTGCGTTGGCAAGGCCGCCAAGGCATGAGGGCGTGCGCAGCAGCTGGCAGAGCGGGTGGGCGTGCATGGTAGGGCAAGCGTGTGATGTTGGCAGCGTGGGTGGAGGCTTCTAGCAAAGTCTGCAGACGCTGCCAGTGGTCGGGCGAGCGCTAGCATGCACGCGGGCACAGCTGGCTGGTGAGCGGATGTGGCAGTCACTTGCTGACTGGCCATGCCGCCACATCAGCATTGACTTGGCGTCGTCATCTTCTGAAGCTGGGGCGGGTGTTGGCTAGTTGGGAAGATTTCTTTGGGGGGATTACATGGCGAGAACGTGGAATAATAATGTCACTTGATACCTCCTGTCCTTTGAAAGCACATTGTGCCATCTCGCTGCTTCGCGCTCCATTCGGGGGATGCTACAGGCTAGCATGTCGAATGGAGGGGAGCTTGCTTTCTTTTGAAAACAAAGCTCCTTGACGAATCACTCTCGCTCTTTTACTTGCGGGTTATAGTGGAGGGAGGTTGGCTTGCCGCGAGGGGAGAAGAGAAGAGTGTTATCATGGGGAGTGGGAGGAGGATCGACAAAAGATATTGAGTGCGGACTCTTCGAGCGTTGCAACAGTCTCTGCAAGAGGAAGCTGCTTCGACTTGGGGACTTTCTTCTTCGGCTCGCCAGCATGGTCTTCTCCTTTTCATCATTGGTGATGATCAACAGGGCTCATCTTCATCTTCATCAGCATTTTCCTTGTCATCATCAACATTGGTAGTGACAACCCTACTTATCATCATCATCTTCATCAGCATCATCGTCATCATCATTATCATCATCATCATCATATGGCGCGTGAGACTGGAAGGATTGGGGGGATAATTGATTCACCACGTTCCGTCCTGTCTTTCTTCTCTTTTCATTTAGTCTTCTACCTATCTCACTCTCCTCTTCCTTTCTCTTGTGCTTAGTCTTTTTCTCTGCTCTCGCCTGTTTGCTGCTTGGATGTTGGGGCTTCTGCTGCTGCTTCGTTTTTGGGAGTTCTGAGCGCTGTTTCACCGTTCCGGGTGCTCTGCACTGCTTCTGAGAGGGAAGAAGGAGATTGGGACAACAATGTATGAAGTGGCGGGGTGGAAGAGTGGAGGAAGGGGCGGGGTGCAGAGGAGGAAGAGGGTAAAAGAGGGAGATGATGGGAGTGTGACTAGGGGGAAAGGGAGGTTACAAGGATAAGGATAGAAGGAGGGCGAGGAAGGGGGGCGGGGTGTTTTCACGGAGAGAGGCGGGCACATGGGTAGAGAGACGTTACAACCGAGAATCTGGATCGTGGCGGCACCCTATTGGCTGAAGGCCTCAAACACATTTGATTTTTTTTTTCTTTTCTTTTTTCTTGTCTGACATCGTTCGAAGGAAATGTCCTCGGGCGACGTCCCCGAGGACAGGTGGAACGATGGCGGGAATTTCCTTGAAAACCCCCAAGGAAACTTCCTTCGGCCCCGAGGACGCCCCAAGGAGTGTCGAACGAGCCCCATAGTCTTTATACTAATCATCATCATCTTTAGCATCATCATCATTAGTATGATTATCAAACAGTTTACACAGAAATTCATCATCATCATCATTATCATATGAGTGATGCTGAGCCCGGTTCTCAGCATGTTCTGTTCGGTCACTCCGGGTAGACTGTGAGAGGTAATATCAGCCTTCGGCATTGGGCCCGTTTTAAAAAAAAAAAAAAAAAAAAAAAAAAAAAAAAAGATGATGCACACAAATCGAGAAATGGTACAAAACAAAGAAGAAAAGAAAAACGTTCTCCTCACCTCCACCGGATTCTCGCTTGCACCCTGTCGCATGAGGCTCAGACTTTGCAGTGCAGCTGACATCCCCTCTGAAAGGTCCGGAGCTAGAACGTTTGTTACTGTTGCCATGGCCTCCACAGACTTTCCAAAATGCTCCAAGCGTGTGGGTTGATCGATTTGTTGAACCGTTTCCTGCAACCCACCGAGCCAGCAAGGGTGAGCATTCCATTCCTCATAACATAATTAGGGACAGACTGGCAAAACCAGATTACCTTTTTCTCCCTTTCTTTTTCTCCTGTTTTATGCAATATTACCATAGCCCAAAACCTGATTTTCTGAGCACTTGGAGTGATATTTTTGCATTTTTTTTTTTACCGGCTCTTCTCAAAATCTGATCGTGATATTCTGAGAACCTTTTTTTAAAGAAAAAAACAGAAAAAGAAAAGACCTGCTGAGCCTGCTAGGTCTGGTGATAAGAGTACCCACTCCTAACAGCTTCTGCAAGTGACTCCAGTCTATTGGTGGGGAGTGGCACCTGCTGGAAACCAGGTCCAGCGTGACTCCAGTCTATTGGTGGGGAGTGGCACCTGCTGGAAAGCGGGTCCAGCGTCCCATATGCAAATATTAGAACAAAAAAAACATAACCGTGTCCCCATAGGTTGAAGCCCGCTGCTTCAGTCCATTCTGGACCGCCAGATTTCCAGACTACACAGCCCAACCCTTGAAGTTGGATGAAATAATTAAGAGAGAATTAATAGCATCCTCCCAGAATGGGAAAAGTGGGAATGGCTGGGTGGGGAAGTGCAGGGAGACTTCTCAGAGAAAAAGTTCCATCTCAATTTTAATGATTGGTTCTCTTTGCCGACTGGAGCAGTGCTAAGACCCCCTTTTTTATTTGCTGATCTTTGTCCATTTTCAAACCTGTCTTTACAATGAGTCGAATATCTTAAGAGAAACAAAGGGAATAGCTAGCATTTACGATTTTGTGGCGCCTTTTCTAGGGTGAAGAGGCAAAATAACTGCCATTTCGTCAAAATGGACATCTTTTATTTTTTGAACGAAATTGAAACCGAGTTTTTTGGCCGAAAACTCGTCAAAATTTGTTGTTCCTGAGGGTCCGGCGTTTGTAAAACGCTGGCCCCCTGGCTGTACATGGACCTAGCTTGAGACCAGGTACCTCCAGGCAGTCCTGCCTGGAGGTGCCTGGTCTCAAGCTAGGACCCTCAGGACCAACAAATTTTGACGAAATGGTCGTTAAATCCCCTCTGTTATCTATACCCGAGCCAAAGACAGTTCTCAAGGATACCAAATCCGCCATGTCTGCAATAAGTCCGGCCAAACAAAACATGTTCTTGTATTGGCCGCCATCATCTTCTCCATAGCCACAGAGCTCTTGAGGGACGCTGAGCCCGGTTCTCAGCATGTTCTGATCTTTCATTCCGGGTAGACTGTGAGGACCCCGACCTCAAAATTCTCATTGGGGATATCAGCCTTGGGCACTGGGCCGGTTCCAAAAAAAAAAAAAAAAAAAAAAAAAAAGGGATCCTCCCAGAATCCTGTACCTTCCCTTTTTTGGCCAATTCCAGGGAAAAAATCCAAGAAGTGAAGAAACAGCAATATGCAGACACCACCGGACTGACTGAACTTGCCTGTAATCTGGACTGCACCCACAGGACCTCATATTACCCCTCTTCCCTCAACCTTCTAACCGATACCATTGCAAATCTACTAATGCAAGTTAAGAAGGAGGGAAGGGATCTGGAAAGAATTCTGGAGGTCGTAGCAAGGCACCCGGCTGGATTCTGAACCAATCAAGAAATCTGATTTGACAGTCCCTCTTGAGGAAGACTAAGAAGGACTAAGCCTCCTCACCACCTGACCTTTCTCCCAGCCAATCCGAACTTTCCGAAGTGAATTGTTTGATGATCTTTTTTATATCTTCTTTCTGTTGGCAAGCACGTAATTGGTTTTACACTTGCTAAACTGTGCTCTCACCTCAGTTTGCAGGAATTGTTTAACAGTCTCTCATTAATAAAACGAGCATGGGACGGATGTATAGCATCTGCCATGAACTTGTCAAGTGATTGTGATTATTCGACGAAATTCCTCCAGCAGTAGCAATGATGCAACAATAGAAACTCATACCAAGTGCACATAAACAAATGAAAAAGAAGCCAATGAAACGAGAAGAGGACGAAGAAAGAAGAAGAAGAAGAAGGAGGAGGAGAAAAGAAAGGGACACAGGATATACGCGAAAAAGCTCCCGAACGCGACATTAAAAATATACAATGAAGAACAAGCGGTAGTGACCCGACTGGTTTCGGCCGGCCTGCCACCGGCGACTCATCAGGGGTCTTGGTCCGTCGTGAGATGAACTTGTCAAGGCCTTGACTAGCCTCTTATACACCACAATGAGGACCATGCTAGGAAGATAATTCCTAGTGTTAGTCTTATGACTCTTTATCTCCTCTCTTATGAAGTAAGGTGAGGATTCTCGGACCCACTGTTTCCCTCATCGGACCCACTGTTTTTTTTTTTTTTTTTTTTTTTTTTTTTTTTNTGTAGAGGCCAGTTACTAGGCACACATTGATCGCCGGAAGCGGTCAGCCGTGGTCGCTCTGAGGCGAGGCCACCACCCATCCCATCCTCGCGTCAATACTCCTACCGCATCCCCTATCCCTACTATCCTACCTCAGTGTTCTCATAATAATCCACAAGTTCTAAAGATATAGACGGTCAGATGGCATCCCATAATTCTTTAGGAAGCCCATCTTACTCTTTAGTCAATAGATTCTCTGGATGGTCCAATTGCTCTGGTCTTAGTGTTTGTGTAAGTGGGATGAGAAACCTGTCTATGGCTATATCATCCTCCTCAGGCTGAAAATCTTGTGGATTCTTAGATGATGTAAATTCCCCCGGCCCGGTCCCCGGCCCTATAGCCCCACCCCCGCCACCACTCATCCCCGCCCCCGCCGGCTGTTGGGCCCGCCCCCAGCCCTGCACCCACGGCTACCCCAGTCCCACCAGTGCTGGGTGTGGCCCCGGGGCGGGTCCAGGGTGGGGCACAAAACCCCATTTTGGGGGTTTAGCCCACGGGGTGTGGGATCTCGCTGCGCACCCCCAACTTCTTTTTTCTTTTCTTTTCTTTTTTTGGGGGGGGCGGGGCGAGTCTCCGGAGCCGGGGCTGGGGGTGCCCACCACCGGCCCCTGCACGCCCGCTGGGGCCTCGGGGCCGGGGTTCAACAACCTTGCCTACCGTACCCAAAAAAAAAACGGGTCGACCGCAAGAAAAGAAGTTAAAATAGTGCGGTGGTGCGAAAAAAAAAATTCAGGTTTTTTCTGCCTCGGTGCGAGAGCCGCCCTGGGCGCCATTCTGGGCACGGTGGGGTACGTCGGGCGCTCGGGCTGGAAAGCTAGTATGCAATCTTCAGGCTGCCGGTCGATGAGGATGCGTACGTACTAGGGTGCTAACTGGGATTGAATAAAGTTTGTATGGTATTCCTTTATGCTCGTGCTCTTGCTCAAGCAAAAAAGATGACATCCATTTGACCTTCTGTCTCATGCTTAGTAAGGGTAGGACCCACAGGACGGCAGCAAACAGTTTCGGAAGTCTTCAACTTTCAGCCGACTGCCCACCGCCAACGGAGATGATGAAACAGAGGGGACCACACCGCCACCGCGAAATGTTGCTTTTGCGTCGAAGGCGGTTACCCAAAAAGGAAATTCTGGGGCAGTTGTCCTTTTCGGGAAAGGTTGGGGCCTGGAAGGCCATTCCAGGTCCCTTACCAGTGGTTGTAATGCAAGGGCTGCCGACTTCCGTCCGCATTTGCCAGAATACGCACCCGGGAGGTAGGTAAACAGACCGAGTATTGGAAAACGGGAATTTAGGGCCATGTAGGAAGGGGTTGTGGACCGAGTGCAAACGGTTGCCCGTTGTCTTCCGCAACGGGAATCTTGGTCTGTGGGTTTGCCGCCGTCCTGTGGGGTCCTACCCTAAGTTTTCCTCCGATCAAAGTAACCTTACCAACGTTTTTGAGCAAAGCTTAGGAGTTGATTCCTCAACCTCGGGATATTGACTTGTTCTGGGAGTGTGACTAACTAACTGGTCACTTTGTTAGAACAAGTGGACCCGCCGCAGCCACGCTGCGGCAGAGGAGAGGGACGAAGAGGGGGGCGGGGCTGTTGTAGTTACATTGCCGTTTTTTTTTATTTTTTATTTTTTTTGTCATCATATTCGCTATACACTAAAAAAAAAACATGACTGCGGCAGACTGTTTCCGAGTGATCAGGAGGTTGTGTGTGTTTGTGTGTGTGTGTGTGTGTGAGAGAGAGAGTCTCTCTCTCTCTCTCTCTCTCTCTCTCTCTCTCTCTCTCTCTCTCTCTCTCTCTCTCTCTCTCT